CCTAGCTTTTCTATACTTCATCCTAACTCCTGTAGGTATCCAAGTCGATTTTAGGAAGATTAATGCTATTCAAACTTGACTAACACTAACATCCCTATATGATATTCAAAGTTTCATGGGTTGGCATCTTTTTATCGTTAATTTATTTATAATTTTAGCATTATTACTACTCCTCTAACTAATTGCATAAAAAAAGAAGTGTTTTAATAGACATTTGAGGCAAAGAATAGTTTTGAACTACTAAAGATGAAGTTATTCACTACTTCTATTCTTGCATTACTAGATCTTTTTTAATATTTAAAGTTGATTATGATGCCTCTCATTTAGGTATTGGTAGACTGCTTAGCTAAGAAGGACATCCATTTAGTATTCTTTAGTGAAAAGCCTAATGATATAAGAAAGAACTATTTAACATATGATATTGAATTTTATGTTATTATTCAAGCACTACAATACTGGAGACCTTATTTGATTCAAAAAGAATTTATCTTAAATTCTGATAACGAAGCTCTTAAATATATAAATTCTTAAGCAAATATGAAGAGATGATATGCAAAATGGGTGGCATTTTTATAAGAGTATACTTTTATCTTAAAGCATAAGCATGGAATTTGTAATAAAGTTGCAGATGCATTCAGTCAGCCATTAGCACTTCTTGACACTATGTGAGCCTAACTAAAAAGGTTTACTAAAAAGATTTAATGAAATAAAAATACTTACTCAAATGATGAAGATTTTGAAGAAATATAAAAGTTATACATAAAAAGTTATAAAGAAGATTATGTTATTGAAGATGGTTTTCTCTTTTGTTGAACTCAACTTTGTATTCCTAGATATTTTCTAAGAAAGCATATTATTCAAGAATTATACTCTAGTGGATTAGGAGATCATTTTAGGAGAGATAAAATAATATTTCTCATCAAAGCGAAATATTTTTGACCAACAATCTACCGAGATATTATGTGAAAATATGTAGAATATGTCAAACTTTAAAATGACAAAGTCATACTTCTTTACCGATTCTTAATGCTCACTAGGAAGATACCAGTATAGATTTCATGATTGGTCTACCAAAAACTAAAAGAGGTATAGATTCTATTTTTGTTATCGTTGATTGATTTTCCAAAATTATATATTTTATTCCTTATAAAAGGACCATTGGTGCTTATTATATTGCTAACCTTTATTTCAATAAAGTGGTCCAACTTCATGCAATTCCTAAATCTATTACATCATATATAGAGATACTAAATTTTGAAGAAGTTTATTAAAGAAATTTGGCACCAACCTATTATATAGTAGTGCTTATATTCTCAAACAGATGGACAAACTTATATTATTAATAGAACCTTGGGTAATATACTATGATAATTTGTTGTTAAAGACCAAAATATTGAGATATAATGCTACCTCATGCTGAATTTGCTTATAACTATGTGGTTGATCGTTTTACATGCAAGAAACCATTTGAGATTATTTATGATCGTATCTCACTGAATTATCTAGATTTTGCTATGATCGTAATGGCACTAAGAGGAGGGTGAATTAGTGCTATAGTAATTTTAACCAATTTTAAGGTTAGATCGATAATTCTATATTAGAAATGTGTTTAACCAAAAGTGCAAGAAAGGGTAGCGAGTGAAGTAAATCAATAAGTAATAACAAAGCAAAGGCAAGAGAAGGGATGCAAATTGATTTATAGTAGTTCGGTCTTCCCTACTTACGTCCACTCCTGATTTTTTTTCCCTCGAGGTCATCGACTTTCACTATTGATCTTCTTTCCAAAGAGTAAAGGTTAGCTACCCTTATTATAACTTTTCTCCTTTTAACAGGTTTAGGAGAGAACCTTCACACTCTTAGAGAGAGTTTACAACACTTTTGTACTTAAGAATTTATGATTCATCAAGCAAGTATAAGTAATATATTTATAGACACCAAAAGGATTTAAGAATTGAGTTAAAAATTTAAATTTATAAAATTTTGAGGTATTAATGGTACTACCATCGGCACCAGGTGGTCCTACCGTTGGCCTAGGCGATACTAGCACCGAAAAAACACAAATAGTACTTTTCAATTGACTCAAGCAATACTACCACTCATGCCTACTTTATGTCATCAATTTGACCTTCTAATAGGCCTAATTCGACTCTAATTTAAGCCTAATATATTTCTTGATAAGTTGGCATGGTTTTGGCCCAATACCAACTCAATTTGACCCAAAAAGTTCTTGACCAAGATTTTAATAATCCAACTACATATCTGGCACAATTATGAAGCTTTCAATATGTTGTATATCATTCTGACATGTCGTTCGATCTTCTGGTACTTCATTCAAACCTTCAGCACATCGTCTTTTTCTTTGATATATCGCTTAATCTATTGACATGTCAACTTTCTCATGACATATAATCTTTTGGCGTAATATCTAATCTTTCTTGCATTATGCCCAAACTTATATTACGAAGTCAAATCTTTGGCATTTCAATCAATCCTTCGGCTCGACGTCTAATTTTCGATATGATACTTTTCCTGGCACAACATCCAATTGTCCTACTTCGATAATTTACCCTTTGATGGTTCGAGTTCATGATCATAGTATTTCTTACGTCACTTATCACAAAAGCATACTAGTCTATAAACTCATCAATGGATTTCATTATCAAAATTTAGGATTCAATATATTTTACTAAAATATATAAATCAACTTTATCAAGTTTAAAGGGAGATGATTTTGCTATTCACATAATAAAAAATTATGAAGAAGTAAAGAAGAATCATGAAACTAGTAACCAAGTTTACAAAGAAAATGCCAACAAGCATCGTCGTGCAATGATCTTTGAAGAAAAAGATCTTATTTAAATATTTAAAAAAATATTTTTCAATAAGAAGTTACAAATAAATTGGAAGAGAAGAAAACTTACAAGTTCTTAAAAAAAATAATGCTTGCAAGATTGAACCTTCTCCTAATATTCATGCTCATTTCACATTTAACATTTAAGATTTATCACTTTACCGTAACAATAACGACGATAACTCGTGGATGGCTCACCTGAGAAGAATAATGCAATACATAGTGAAAATTGAATGCTCACACGTTTCAAGACAATAAGTATCAAACTCAATCCTATCAAATCTTAAGAAAATTAATATCTTAAGATAATTATGAAAATTTAACATCATCAAAACATAATGCATCATGAATTTAATATGTATTATAATTTATACTTGACTTTTAATAAATTATGACTCGTTAAATAGGTAATTAAAGAATTCGATCTATAAAGAAGAAAGATTGATGAAGTATTTTTAATTTTTAAAACCTTATCAAATTTTTATATTTAGAGTTAGTAACTCATAATTATCTTCCTTTGTTTTGTGTGTGTGTGTGTCTATGTGTCTTGTTTCACGTCACCTGCCGCAACTCGGTCATTCCATCTTTGAGAACCATGAGTAATCCTTTGCGTGTGCAAGTTAAACGTCTCTCGGTGCAAATTACTAATTATGATCATACCGATATATGCACGCACCCATACGAAATACAAATCCTTTACGCCGTCTCCTATGCCCTCCCTCTCATCATCTTACATCGACGACACACACCTATTCCTCGAATTGTCGTCGTTAACCCAAAAGAAACACTCGAGCCAATCCTTACCGTCCATCTTACGCCGACTTGTCGTGCCCTTTTAGTCAGTCGGTCGTCGTCGTGTCCTTCTTCCGTGAGGGCCCAAAGCACTGCCACCCTCTTTCTCTACTGGCCCCACAAAGATTCTTCCACGCCATCGTGGGCCCCATGCCAAGTCATTTCCGGTTGCGTGGCGCCCATCGTATTTTTTGTCCCTATGCGTATTGACTGGACACCCGAGGATGGATACTGTTCATTCGATGAATAACAATAACAATAATAATAATAATAATAATAATAATAATAATAGTTTCATTTGGTTTTCTTGTGTCTCGGACGCTGCAAAAAGTTGGAACCACTTTTGGTGCACTGTGCTTTGGCTTGTGAGGAAAGAGAAGGAGAAGTGGCAGAGCAATTGCTAAATCCCAAATGCTTCTTGTTTCTTTGTCTCAGACTTTATGTCAAAAGGTCACAAATCCTTTCTTCGGGCATTGTTCTTGTCCAACCCTATCAAACTTCATATCAAACATCATGTCCTGCAGGAACTCACCACCTTCAGCTATGTCTGCCAGTGAATTTAGCTTCTTTCGACTCCCTCGAGGCTAGAAATGTAAGTTTATGAACACCCTAAAATGAGTGAAATAATAAATATTTTTCATCTGTAATAGACTAGAATTCGAAACTGCATAAACTTGAGACTTGCTATCAGCTAAAACTATACAGCTTGGGATTTAGAGACTGCAAACACAACATGGTCACAGATGAGGCACTTTTTGGTCTTTAGATCTCTGCATACATGTGGTTGCAATGCCACACAGCCTTGTCCTGCATAATATGATACCATCAGGCCCATCAAATCCCACCACACAAGGCACATATGACATGAGTGAAGCAATAATTTTGGTGGAGCCATGCAGCTGTTGCAGGACATGATAGGGCACCTTTCTTGCAAGAAACCAAGACCACTACTCTCAACTATATGTCTATCTTTAGGAGATCAGACTTTTGGGGCACACAAAAAATCTCAGCACCAGACAGCATGTCCTTTTTAGGATTGCAGTTTAATTCCCCTGCCATTTGGATGATCTCATCATGGGTGCAATAATCTTAGTCGCAAAACATGGTTAGCTTGAAAGATTGATGACAGAGGAAAGCAAGGATGCCAAGACACAGTCCCAAGATTCTTCAATCCATGTGCCCCATGCAGTGGCTAAAGGAAACCAAATTAGCATTTAACTAACTACATGAAGATCTGAACTCTTCAAGCAACAATCTTCGATATCAACCTGCTCTGATGCTTAGGATATGCCTTAAACAAGTTTCGTGGAGAAGAACCTCTATCCGACACGATATGCAGGAATCACATTCATAGATATTTGCAGGGAAGGATACAGCTACTTTCTTATTATATGACTCCTTATGAGTTAAAAAGTAAGAGACTTAACAAAGTCATGTAAACACTCAAGTTTACCTCTACATGCATCCCCTTCTCAACATTCAAAGCAAAGATACAATGGATTTTCTATTCTCATTATGTAGCAGATTTCAGTCGACTTGAGAAAACAAAGCATGGTAGTAGCAGCAGACACGGCACGGCGATAGTATAGGATCCTTAAAAACCAACCGAGGATACTCACGGAGATGGAGGCCAATCAAACACAGTGACTGCATCACTAAAGCCACCCCCGTAGAACCTTACTTCAAAACCCTCCAATCCTTGATCATCCTCCCATATGCTATCATCGTCGCTTAACCCCTCGTAGACATCTTCACCGTCTTCCATGAAGTCCCAAGTGTACACAGAAGAATCCGAGTAGTCTGAGCACCCATCCCAGCAACTTTGCTCGTAGCAGTCTATAATGTCTGGTCCTAATACTTTCAAACCAGAATGCCGCTCCTTCAAATACTTCTGATCTAGCTTCACATCCCAACAGCCCCTTAGGTCCAAGTACTCAAGATCCTTGCAGCTTGAGAGGATATCAAGTACCGCTCGAGTGGTCAAGAGCAGGTAGGCCAGCTCCAAGTGGCGCAACCTGGGCATCGATACCGCAATAGCATATGCCTCTTCATCTTGGCAGACCTTGTTTGTGACCTCTAGCGGATGCATCCTACGCCGCAGGACGATGAGGGATCTGCAGTGCTTTCCGAATGCTTCAATCGCACGGGCACCTATCTTTCTGCAGTAGCTAATGTCTAAGAAAGTTATATTTGATAGTCTTGGGGCAATAACTTCCGCAATGGAGTCGCTTATTTCACTTCTTGGAAGCTCCAACCGCCGAAGGGAACCGGCACTAGGAAAATCAAAAAGCAAATAAGAAACTCAATAAGATTAATTACAGCCATCAAACAATAATGATAATAGATTATCTATCCTTGCAATACCTTGAACTATTGTTCATGTATAATCCATTTCTACTACCAGTTTATTTCAACATTAAATCCAAATTTAGAGTAAACCAGCATATGCAAGACCTACAGAGAATACAGATGCCAATTTAAATTCACAGAGACTAGCGAATTACAGGTTTGGCCTTGAAAATCCTAAAGATATGTATGACCTCAAACGTTTCTCCTGACTGTTAGGTCACTTCTAACTCAAGAGTATAGCTATGAACAGAGAGTATTTCATATGTCACAAGACTCATAACAGTGCCATCTTACGACGAAGTTTATAGTGAGGTAAGTAACAGATATTAGAATCCTAACATGCAAGAAAGTGATGTTCCAAATAAAATATCAAACTTAAATATGATAAGAACAATTCATGTGGACGTAAGCTACCCATAACTGTGACAGATACTCTTCCTGTTACTCCAATATGAAGCTATAGAGAAAGATCCAAAGTAAGCACATCTAGATAGGACCTCTGCTGATTTTTGAACCACAACCAATTTCAACACCAGTCATCTCATTCATGTGAATCTAACTATCAACAGTGCAGAAAATTTTGGTTGCGATGATGATAGATGGCTGCTCATACTCCTTCATTAAGTGCTGTAGACACAATAACAACAGTGAAAAAAATTGCAATTCTAGACTTCAATGTGAATTCACAGCGACGGTCTTCCAAAGTTTTGAGTTGACGAGTGAATCATAAATTGGATGACAAAACCTAGAGCTAGTTAAGCATGAAGGATGCTTATATGGGAGGAGATGGACGTACTGGTCTGCAATGAAGGAGAACATGGATTCAGTGTGGAGCCCTGAGACGCTGAGCCTGCGGAACGAGCCACAGCTTCGAGCAATGAGCATGTGGAGCATCTGGTCCAGATGCTCCGGCTTGCACCGCAGGCTCCATTCCTCGATGTCGATCTCCTGCCAGCAGTAGGGCCCCGACACCACCCGCTCCCAAGATTTGCACACCCTGGGAATGACCGTGAGGATATCCTGAAGAGAGAGGTTGCGGAAGATGAGGCTCAGGGCGTCAGGGATGAGCTCCTCCCAGGCCCTGACTTCACTGCCCTCCGCCATGTCGTCAGAGCAGAGTGGATTACCCTACATCCCTGTCCAAAAGAATGGGTCAAATGGAGAAAATGGGCTCCGGAAAATAGAATCCCAGAGCACTGTCCGCAACAAGCGAATCGAAATCTGGCAAATGAGATCGAGAATTAGAACACCAAGCATGGCGAATGAGAATGAATCAGATGCAGGAAACAGAATCAAGAACCAGAGATCGGAAACTTCTTCTCACAGGAACCGAATCCAAAGGCGGCAAATGCAGAGATCAATTAACTAGATCCGCAGAAAATAAAGGAATTGAGTACCTCGGAGGTCGAAGATTACCGAAAATTACTTGTAAATACAGAAGAACAAATCTGCGGCACAAATTGAGGAGATTTCGCCCAAAAAGGCGACAAAAAACTCTTCATTCCCAGCTGAAACAACGCAAAACGCCCGCTTTTGCGACCAACAAATGGAATAAAGGAAGAAAAACCCCAACCTCAAGAGTGAAAATTGAAACAGCAACAGGGAAAGCTAATCTCTCGTCACCCGACAACACAACATCACGACGACGAAGATTGATTCATCCTAAACAACAACAAAAACAAGAAGAAAGATTGCGCCTTGAGTGCTCAGTCTTCGATGGCCAAAAGAAAGAAGGGCAAAAAAGATTGCGCCTTGAATCACTCGCATCAGACCCAGCAAGACAAAGATCGAGAAATCGAGACTCACGCGCGGGTGCTACTTCCAGCCCAAGCGAAGAAGCTGCCCAAATCCAAACATTAAGCAAGACAAAGGCTATCTTTAGTAATGCAACAGATTACAAGAAACAAAATCCCTAGAGGGTCATACACATCATTCACAAAAAATATACTAGAAAGCCTTCCGCTTCGATCAACATAAGAAGATGAGAGAGGAACGAAGAGATACCCATCATCATTAAACAACAGAAAAATAAAGGTATTTTCTTGATGCAATCAGCCTCTGCGTGTAAGAGAAGTAAAAGAGCAGAGACAACAGAGAGAGAGAGAGAGAGAGAGAGAGAGAGAGAGAGAGGAAACACGAAAAAAAGGTCTCACTGAACCCAAGAAGAGACAGGAAATGTAGCAATTGGCAAAAAGCTACAGACGATGGAAAAAAGTAAGCTCGAAATTACAGGAACTAATTATTATTTATTATTTTATTTCCTTTTTTTTATTGATCTTCTTCTTTGAGAATCTCGTCGAATGAAAGCCACGTGGAGGTTATCATATTTGTTGGGTTAAATTAATCGATGTCTTTAGGAGACGTTGAAAAACGATTTCACATCCGTCCTGTCATTATCATCTTAATTTGATCAAAATGTCATCATTTTAAAACACCAATCGACACATTTTGGTGTGATCATTTTTTTTTTAATCTATTTTTTCAAAAAAAATTAAATAATAAAAGCAATATTCGATCCGATAAAATATTAAAATCTTTGTCGACTAAATAATTAATTTAATCGACATCTTTAAAAATATATCAAATCAAATAATTAGAGTTTTCTAACTCGTTGACCAAATTTATCAAGATCATAACATCACCTCCCATCCCATATGCAGACGTCACTTCATAAAACTCTAGATATACGTTTACATTCCTATTATGAAGACACGAACATATTAGATCGTAGTCATTCTTTCTTTGGTAATCACGTTGTGATTTGATCTGCCATCACTCAACCATACCCTGTATTATAATCCTTGAAAGATCCACTTGGACTAAGAGATAGATGAGCGTTTAAGTAATGTCAGGTAGGAATCCGAATCCTGTCTATATTTATAAATCTAACTATCCACTTGGAAAAGATGTTTAATGTCGCTTAGAACTTATTGAAGTACCAAAATGTACTCCCAAAACCATCCATCGCATCCTAATGATCTTATTCTGCTCCCAATTGTCTATCCTTAATTCATTAGCTCTTATAGCTCGTACCAAAAAAGAATCTCTTACTATCCGAGGGGTAACAAGCACTTGCTTAAAGACTCAATTCCCAAACTACTTGTTGTTGCGTCCCAAAATCTATTCCTTAGTCTAATTGCATACATGCAAGTAAAATACTCAACTTGTTACTGTCCTAAGAATGATTACGGTATGTAATGTACAAGTTTCATTGTTACCAGAATTCAAGATGGGATTAAAATGATTATTTCTCAAACCTGATCGATTAATATCCAAAAAAAGATCTAACTCCATTTAGCTATCACATTAAAAACAAATGGAACAATAATAACAATCTACAATGTTTTTAACTATTTGAGATCAACTAACTATCAGAAGAAAAAAAATTAAGAAAACTTAATTTTTTTATTATAATTTTTATTAATATAAATTATTTTATCTTTTCTGATTATAACATTAATGGACTTTCTTATATTATTATTATCTATTAGAACTACACTCAATTGTTCATAAAATATAAATAAATATATATACATATATATATATCTTTTACCATATTTTTTTTATTATATGTTTCTTCTTAACAGCCAAAAAAAACAATACTCCGGCCTGACCTAATAATTATCTTAAAAATTTGCTCTTAATCTAACAAATGAAAAACCAAAATCTACTCTCCACGGTGTGCTTCTAAGGTTGTCCCCCTCCACGGTAAGCCACGGCCTGGACTTGGGTCACCGGAAGCAAGAAGGTTGGTTGGGGGGCATTAAAGAGGTTGTCATCCTCAAACATGAAGTTGGCAATGACTTGTGTCAGATCACATCATACAGAAGTTTTTATGCACCTTTCTTTCGGGAATGTCTAACTTATTTTTCTCATTTTCTTTTCCTTTTTGAACAGCTTTTGCACGTAGCATGTGAAGCCTTAGTCGTACAAGGCAGTCACCAAACCCAAGCTCTGCAAACCTAGAGCCACACAGTATTTTCCTTGGTAAGCCTTCAAGCACACGAGATTATCCAAACCTGACGACGTCCGATTCGATGTCACTTAACCCTGTCGACCACAAAAAGATCATGTTTGTCATGAATACGTGCAAACTCACCGATTGAGGTGATGATGATGGATCAAAGAACCGAAAACCAATGAAAGCTTGATACCTTCTTATGGATGCCAAGAGACGTTCGACTGGTGCAGGTTGATGAAGCCGTCTCATAATTAGCCTGATGAATGGACCGCTGCTGACACACACACAGAAGCACCTTCTTCACTGTACCTGTCACAGGCTTATCCAGCATTCGTAATATGACCTCAGAAATGGTAACTGAGGACGGACCTACCTACATCAAAAGAAAATAAACAAAAATGATGTCCCAGGTGTCTCCAAGTGCATGACTCTGAGCAAGTGAAAATTACCATATGGCTTATGGCTCAGTTCAAGCGAAGCTCATGCCCATAAATTGAGCTCCACAGCATTGATTGCTGCTCACCTTCCCAAGACTGGCAGGTGGAGCAGTAGAAGCAGCCAGCATTCACTGGACTGGACAAGCCAATCCGAGAAGCCATGGACTCAACTGCGTACTGACCCACCCTTGTGGCACTGTCAGGATGCTGTGGTCGAGTCACCAAATAGTATAGTGATGATGCCCAACACATTAACTGAACTGAGACTTGATGTTACTATACATGCCAAAGCCCGAAGAGAGTCACAGGAAACCAAGTGGAGCATCCTTAGAATCTGAACTGGTGATCTGATCCATGCCGGTGGATTCAAAAAGACAAGAACCCCATTATTAATTACTCCAAGATGGTTGCATCAAACGCCACCGAGGTTTTGACATGTTCTGCTCTGAATATAAAAATACAAATCCATCTGGCAACACCGACCAAGATCGAGAAAAGACAAATCTAAGTGCTGTGAGTTGATCTCGGGCACATGCAGGAGCTTGATTTTGCTTGTTACAAGCCAGACAGACTTTGCAGACACAACTTGGAGTTGGTCTGCAGATGTGAGCAAGTTCCCAAAACACCCAATTCAAATTTCGCATTCCCTCCCTGTGGCAGTCCAAATAAATCATAAGGTTCTAAAGAATGAGGTCGAAGAAGAACATTGCTGAAGTGGTAAGGAATGATAAGAGAGACCATCGTCAATATGATATTTTACATGCACAGACATGCATGTATTCTTATTCATATGCAACCCAACCAAAAGGGAGGGGGAAAAGATCTACCTACAAAGGAAGGCAACCAGATTATCGGTTGCTTGATTTAATACTTCAAAGCAACCAGTTATACGAAACCATCATGCCAGCATTCGAACCAATTTACTTGGCTGCTAAATGCTTGAAAACCCAAAAGAACATTTTTGAACATCAGCCTGTACATTACGGGACTGATGAAGAGGAGTTAGATGAATAAACACCTGAGTTGGTTGAATAAAACCCTTCACAGATCAGAGTAGCAATGGCACCGTGCTCATGAACAAGAAAACCAGATCCATTTACAACAGAAGGTAAAGTCAAGTCTAGGAAAACAGATTAAAACTGTACAACATTAAATCTAGCTAATGTACATTTAAGATGTGGATTCCTCACATTACTTAATTAAGATAACATTAAATAATTAACTATCAGTAACACCATAATGGTAGGCTCTTAGCAATTAACATGCTAGATTGGGTTGTCATCATCTAATAAGGAAATCTGAATAGAGGAATAAGTTTTTGCAATCTTTCTATGAGGTGGGCCAAGCCTTTTAAACTCTGATACAAAATGTAGAAGACCCATGTAGTTATTTCAATTAACAGGTAAAGTGACAATTTTCTCACTCCTTTGTCCATTTTATAACAGGGACAGGTTTTCTAGTACCAGCGAAAGTGACATCTCAGAAGAAGGTACACAAGATTTCAAATTCCTTCATATGTATAGCAAAAAAATTCTTTCCATGAATAATAATACCAGAACAAGAAAATCTTTCATTGGCACTAGAAAACCTTTGTGTCGACAAAAAAATAACTACATTACTTCAACAAGGAGATTATATTATCTTCAGGTATATGATAAACTAATTGCATGATCCAGTAGAAAAAAAACGCTTTACAACAATTGCAAATCTTGGCATAAATTGCTGCTGACAGGTCCATGTAAGAAAATGTACCAAAATATGGTCCATGTAGTCATTATTGACCAGGTACTAATACATCTTAAATTGGTTCAAGTATGATATAAATTCATGCCAAACCTAAGTCAATCACATACTTTAGTTAATAGCACCTTGTATTTATTGCAAACAACTTGATGACTCTCGAGCACATTAGCCTAGAAGGAGTACAAACTAGGACATAAGCAATTTTACACATTGAGTTAAGATCTAGAATTATTATAACAATTTATTAAATCAAATTCTTAGCTGAATCTTTTATAACTCTTTCTATTCAAATAGACAAATCATAGTTTGTGTGAACCTCTCTGCAAGGTAGACAAGTCTGGGCAAGAAAGTACTAAGCTTGCATTTGGGAATACAGTTGCATTTTTAATGTGCATTTGGAGAATGGGACTCGTGAATATGCAGTTATGGAATACTCTAAGTGTTTAGTAAATAATAGATAAAAACTTCATTTTAAATTTAAATGTGTATTGACGTGAGTGTTGTTTGGTAAAGTTGTATTTCAAAAGTCCATTGAATATTATGTGACAAAAAATTAATAAGTAAATAAAGAAAATAAATAAATGAATGTATGTAATCTTATAAGAAATTTTATATGACTTAGATACATAATAAATAAATAATATAATCATATAAATAAATATAAAATAATCCTTAAAAATAAATAAATAAAATTTCACATTATCGAAGACAAATCATGTTAGTATCTCATTAAATCAAGTAGGTAATTTTGTGATTTTAGATAATGTCATAGGATACTTTGGGAATTTGAAAAATTACATTAGCATTCTGCAAATGCCGAAATGCTAATGCTACCCTGAGATGGCATCAGCATTTGAACATTTGTAATGAAGCATCCAAGCCAAATGCAATTTGAAAAAAACTTACAAACACCAAATCACATTTGAAATGTGCATTAGGCCCTCAATGCACGTTTTAAATGTGTTTCCAAACGCACCCTAAACCTCGAGCATTCATCTATCTTACACAATGCAATAACAGTTTCAAAAGAAAATGTATACAATTTGAAGATCTTGGCAGCTAACTTGTCTTTCATACAAACATATTTGTCATCATAGTAACATGAAGGACTTTGAACCACTTGAAAACCAATTATGAATTATAGTAAAGAACCTCTTCTAGATTGTTATACTCTAGTTTACTGATACATGTACTCCATACTTAATCTGAAATCATGTTGATGTATAAATCATCAAAATTAAATGCCCAGATGTATTTAGTCCCATTTAATGTTTCCTGTCATTACAAATACCTAAAAGATAACAATTGATTGAGACATCTGTACAACAGAAGAGATAAATCTTACTTGCGAAAAAGCAAACATTATCAAGAAACTTATAGTTCATATAACTAGAGTTACTTACCTCCAAGATAGTTCTCGACATGATGAATTGTCTAAAATTCACCATCCATTCAAAGCACCAAGCATAAGTGTGCATCCAAGAAAACTTTATTATCAAGCTTCTTCTGTGGATCCAATTTCGGACCAAGGATATCGCAAGTTCAAATGCATCTAATTTGAGTAGTTGAGTTCTAGATTTTAGTTTTGGGGTTGTATTGGTTAAATTGGGTATTCTATGCTTTTATATCTTCAAACTCTGGAGTATTTCATTTCATTGCCATTAAATAGGTCCATGAGCCACTAGATATGATTTCCAAAAAAATATTCAGAAATATTAAATAGTAAAAAAATGAGCATACTATTTTTAAATTAGTTGATAAATTAGTTATTTAAAAATTTAAAACTACATTAATGTTAAAACATATTAACAAATTTAAATGATACTCTTGGAATAAAACATTAAAGTATTCCCTAATTATATAGATATACATAACAATCCTTTCAGTTTCCAGAGTACATAAATATTTTTGGATGAAATTATTTTTTTAATTTGTTTGAACCTTAACTAACATCTATTTTAAGAATTTAATTAAAAGTACAATTGGAGGGTTCCTGTTTCAAGGGACTTGAATTTCATGATTCATTGGATTGGAATACAATGAGATACGGTGGATTCCTATATGGTTAAATCTTACCCCAATCTCTCTCAGACACTGGTCTCTTTCTTCAGTAGGGCCAGCAGTGACTACAATAACAACATTGTTGCTACTTGATGGCTACAGAATAATAGCAGCAACAGTGGTGTGGCAGTGACTGGTACAATTTTTTATCCTCTCCTCTTAACATTCTTCTTTTTTTATTCGCCAAAAATGGTGTTGACCAGAATCAAGTAGAATTGACAGAGTCCAACTCGGTATTGGCTGATTCAGACTGAGTTCAAAGGATTCTCAATCACCTAACAAATATACTAGAATCCATTATGAGTCAACACAGGTGTGGTGGGGAAAATGTTGGATCAAAGTGTCAAAGTTTGCCAGTTTCACATCTATTATACCTTGTGTTTGCACAAATTCGATGCTACTACTTTTTCACTTTCACAATTTAATTAATAAATCCTTCACCTCATAATAAGCTAACTTTAACCCTTAACTTATGATGAAAACCCCATCAATAATACTCGATAATACACTAAATGCGTTAGTTTTCCATCCAATGTATCTCAGTTCATACTTAAAATCCTTGCTTGAGAGTCTTCGCTTAATCAATCCTATTATCCTAATATCAATATATGAATAGAAACTTTGGGTCACATTGTTTCTTTTAGTGTCACATTGGACTTAGGTTTACCTATGAAATAAAGCACATGCTCTACGCTACTCTAAACAATTACGATTTTGATAAACTATATTGTATTCACTTTTCATCTTGAATGCAAAAGGTGGGAGTAAAAACAGAGGATGTTAAACCATAAGACCATTAGAAATTCAGCCTTCTGTGTGCATAAAATTATCAATAGGAATCCAACTGCGTTAAATTGCATAATGGTTAGGGATTCAAACTGGATTTCAAGTGGATACAGAAGCAATATGGATCAAATATGTTCCTAACAAACACACTTTTTTTTTTTTCATAGGACTCGAAAGCAAAGGTGGACTATTGGGCACTTAGGGCATGATTAGGAAATACATAATAAGATTGATATAGATCCATTTGTGTATGAAAACTTAAGTAAAACCATTTTCACACTTAGGAAAATATAATTAAATTTACACATGTATACATGTCAATATTAAGTACAAACAATTTCACTATTTCCTAAGTTTTCAATAGACGTATAATAAATTATGTCCTAATGTGAAGAACTCAACATTGACTATGTAAGTTATGCAAAATTTACATCATTACACTTGATCACAAATGTAGTTTGTAGTCTTCCAGCAAGATAACTTGTTCTAGCTGTGTGCATATAGGGAACTTGGATTCTTAACATATTAGTTAAAAATGGTTACAATTAAATTGCCATAGGGCCGACAAAGTTCTAGTAAATGTAAGGCACTTCATTTGAGAGCATAACCTCACATTCCTTCAAGTAATAGGCATGAACGTGTCTAAAGTCCTAATGCTTTACTTTTTTCATAATACATGACGATCTTCGTGGGGAGGAGCTAATTACAGATTACCCCTCTGTAATTAGCTACCCTTAAAATTCCGATCCCTATACTTTCAAAAGTAACATTGAGATCTCTATACTTATGAAAGTGAATCATTTAACCATGTTTCTCCTCACGCGGTCGACTCTATTGACGAAAAGACCGCAAGGTTTACCATTAAGCATGTGCTGACTCTACCTCACTTCGGTTTACCACTGAGTACGTGCGGTATTTTCATCAACAGAGTCGACCACATGAGGAGAAACGGGATTAAATATTTCACTTTTGTAAATATAAGGATCCCAATATAACTTTTGAAAATGTAAGGACCGAGATGCTAAAGGTAGCTAATTACGGGGGATACTATGTAACTAGTCCCGCGGATAGTTTTAAACTAATTGTACAGAATTTTAAAAGAATAAAATAGTCTTCCTTTTGTGTTTTTTTTTTTTTTTTTCGCATGGCATTTACATTTTCTATATTCTAGTTTACTTTTGCCTTCATAACAAAAAAGCATCATTCAATAGATCCTTTCATTCTCAAAATCGTGAATCAGAATGTGGAACATCAGGCAATGCATTATTGAGACAGTAATAGAAATCTATATATACAACAATTTAACCAAAGGTTATAAGTGAAATGAAAGAAACTTCACATTCTAATAAACCATGAGATCGTATATACCAGTTGGTGAGCGATCCGAACCGAAGAGGAAATGCTGCACCTGCAGTCTCGTACATCTTCGGCATCCCACTGGTGCCATCAAGCATGGCCGAGCGCTCCGCGATCACCTTCTCCACAAAAGCAGTGAAGGGCTGGCACATATACTAACCGGAGAAGTTATCAAGAATGCCCTGCTTCTGGGTCTATCCGAGCTAGTCGAAGGAAAAGAGGAAGTGGTGGCCATCGAACCGCGCCACACAACACCCCCCCACCCCCAATACGACGTGTGACTGCGGTGCCGTAGTCAAGTGAGGCGTTAGCGAAGTAGTCAAGGAGAAGGTGGACGATCTCATCGAACTAGGAGGAGGAGCTCGAGGACAAAGGCCCCAGCCTCGTCGGCGAGAGCGAAAGAGTCAGCGAGGGAGAGGAGGCCGGAGAGGGTGGAGGGGACGGGGTCGAAGATCTCGGCGGCGGCCACGGACGGAGCGGAAGCCGAGGAAGTGACGGCTCGCGGCGGAGTCGGCCATTCTTTTGCCCTTTGGGCGTGAATGGGGGACTGAGTCAGTGGGCTTCTTCCAATGGGGGATGCGAGGACTAAATATTGGGCCTTAAGCCCATTGGATTTGGCAGACAAACAATATATTGTTTTCCATAAAGAAAATTTTGTTCCCTATGTTTCTATTCATATTCATTCTTAGGAAATGAAATATAATTCTTAACATTTCTGAAGAAATTGGAGGGACATCTCTTTTCAATTTTTATTCAACATTTTAAAGAATAAAATGGGTATGGGGGGACGATTACATAGAATCTTTCATCCTTGATAAATTATTCTGTTTAGATATTTTCTCTATATTTCGTCACACCATTAATATAAATCGAATCATCTTGATTCTACATATATCTTTTTTTTTCTTTTATCAATCCTAAAATTTTTGCATATCCCAAATATTTATATAGAGTTATCGTGGAATACCAACGTCAGTGTTTGAATATAATACAATATATTACGATATATAATGTATGTCTTGGAAACTCGACGATTATAACCTACATCACAAATCAGCTTAAGCATTGGTGTTTGGAGATATCTCAAGGGTTAGGCATCTCTAAAACCTTTGATGCATCTACTTTAATCATTAATCAAAAGTATTTGAGGTACTCTTTAATCGATTTTTGATAAAGTTATAGTGGTCGAGGTTTCAAAAAGAACACACTACAATTTGATAGGAATAGAATTTCTCGAAATCCAATGAAGGGCAAACGTAGAACACAAGTAGTGAAATCTGTCTTTGTCAACATAAGTGAAAGAGGAAAAATATCGTCTCAAATATATCTATCTTATTTATAAAATATTTCCTCACAGTTCAATAATCTCAGGTAAGATTCAATCAATACTTTATTCTTGATCTTCACGTAAGACCTCAGATTGGTTTGGGCATTAGAATGATCATCGATTTGCATGCTGCTAATACTAGTTTCATAGATAATAGTCATGATATTAGAAACTTATCTGGAAGGAAATCATTATAAAGAAACATTCACCATCTTAAATATTCAATTATCCACCTCTTCGAACGAATCAATCAATCAATCAATTCTATCACTAATTATGAGAAGAAGAAAACAAAATATAAAACAAAATTAATAATCTGAATAGAATTTGTTGAAATGCTTAAAGAATTAAAAGGAGACTCAAATGAGATTGATTGCAGGTGAAATAAATACTATTAAATGTTTAGTGTATTAAAAAATAATATCTATGAACTTGGGCTCTTATCTAATTCATCTTAGCTATGATATGGGTGATAAATATCTAAATTTTTAGAGATTTTTGTTAGATTTTATGACCCTTTATAATTAGATAAGATGTATAATATAACTAATTGGGTTCCGTTGAAATATTTTAACCAATAGAATAGAAATTGATTGAACGATTCCTTAAGAGATAATCTTTATAGGAGGAAATCTCATAATATTTTATCGTAAACCCTCTGTTCTCATATATAAATAACCTCTAGGGACTGAAGATGCACTCACATACGCTTACACACACCTCTTCGTCTCGAGATTATAATTTTCTTCTTAATTCTCTTCCCAAAAACATCAAAAGATATACATCATTAAACGAGATCTATGTATTTGATTTCAATTTTGACATTAAAAATTATATTTCCGTATTTTATACAGTATATTACAGTTTTTATGCTTTATTTTCATACAAATATAATTATCGAAAACACAAAGAACCATTGATGTCAAAATTTACCCATGACTTCCAAGGAGAAGTGCAGGGTGGATTTCAAATTTTAAGAGAGAGAGAGAGATGTCACCATCCACGTCCAGCTTTTGCAGGCTCACATCCATAAATGGCTGGTACCAAGAAAGCCGGTGTCAGGAAAAGTCCCTTTGGCCTCTCTATCAGACAGTACAACGACACAGTGCATGGCTTTTGCGTATTGTTTAGAACACCAACAACCATCACTATATTCCATAGTATGATGAATCATTCAAACTAAATCTTAATAAGTGTGTTTATAGTGTATTATGATTCATTAGTATGTAATCAATCTAGACCGAGTGCTGGGAAAATCCATAAAGGTCTGATGATAGATAGATAGATAGATTTTATTTTTATTTTTAGATTAAGAAGAAATTTTCATTACTCTATTTAATGAGATTTATTACTTGTACAATAATATGCATGAAGGTGACATGATAAATATTATAACATTTTGATAAAATCATTGACATCTTATACTTGAAATATCACATCCATCTACGTGGCTCATTTATTATCCAATCTTATTAGGACCAATGTGATATGATAAGCTTGGGACCGCAAGAATTTGACTCAATCTATATCGATGTAGAAACTAAAATAAAAATATTTTTTTCTCTCTTTTATGTATTTGTTCATTATATCAAAAAGATTATATATATTCTGTTCTTTAAATACGTAAAAAAAATATTCTCGCAATATTATTGTTGTACCAAAAATTAATCTTGAATCGATTAAAGTTAATAAACTATTTCATCGTCATTAAAAAAATCTTTATTATGGTATTAAAGCAACTCATAAGTTTCAAACTATATAATTTCTTTTTCTTCATTTGATTTGTAACAAACCCTTTTTACTTTAGTTTGCACATGAAATGAAATAAATGTTAAAGCTAATAGTTATGTTATGCATGGGAGAACCAAAGTAAAAAAAAGCTTTAAGTTCTCGAGGTTTGAGATAATTCAATTAAAATATCTATAAACCTCTATCTAATTTTTTTGAGATCAAATCTCACAATCATCTTCAATCGCTTATGTTTCAACAAAACAAATTATAGGAAGCAAATAGAAGTCAAATGGTGCACCTTATTATCCTATGAATTAATTTTATAGCAACAACTTTCTTTGCTTACGATCAATCACAAGAACATGCCGCCTTCCATGTGATGATTACAAGTCAAGATGTTGGCTTTAGACCACTCGATGTTTGCCAGCATGATATCATGAAAGCTAGAAGAAGAAAGACTTTGGAAGATCGAATAGTGTAATCGTTGCTATCATCACATCTTCTTTCTATCTTATGAATGAATTTTCTTTTCTTAACATTTCTTATCCTTCATTTCCATTGAAAATGAAACACCATCCTCAAAATATACATTATTTTGATATTATATCATTAAAAATATATGCTTTTCATTTTGCTACTCTACACTACACCGAGAGATTTTAATCTTCACATACCGAGATGAATCTGTAAAGCAATGCATCCAGGACGTGGTCGGAATGTTGTGCTAATCTCAAGGACTGTGTGATGGGGGAAACAAACGTGAAAAGAATGGAGCATCAAAATAAGTGTACCACTGTGCCCATTCAATCTAACGGCTGTCTCATGTCAGACAAAACCTCATTCTCATCCCACTCAATGTCACACTTTTGGCCCATTCTTATTTAAATCTCAAAACACACACACACACACTCTCTCTCTCGCTCTCTCGCTTTCTCTCTCTTCACTCACGGAAATTTTCAATTCCTCAATATGCTTCTACTTGAACAATCAATCTATGTAAGTATTTATTTAATTATTATATATTATCAATGGGCTAATTATATATAATTTTTTATAATTAACTTTCTTTAGTCTTTCGATCCTTATATCTTTAAAATTTATATTAATTTTTTTTTTATATTTATAAAAATAAAATATTTAACCTATTTTTTCTTAATGTCGTCAATTTTATTGATAAAAATATTATATATGTTCAATGATAAACTAAAAATATCATAAAGATAGAGTGTATATTATAAAGATCGAGTCAATGATGTAAGAAAAATCGAGATTAAATGTTTCGCTTGAAAGTAGGGATATCTCAATATAAATTTTAAAAATATAAATATTAAAATACTAATTATAGAATGTAAATATAAAATTTAAAAATATAAAGATCAAAATACTAAAAATATTTAGTTATAGGAAGTAATAGATAATTAATCCTATTTATATGAGTTTTAATTGAGATGATTTCTGAAAACTATGTTATAATCATATCTAGTCAAAATTATCCATCTCTATTTTTTTTTTAATTTTAGATGTGATGAATTTAAACTCAACATTAGCCAACAGATACATTTATGTAATTTGAACCCAAAACAGAGATGATAACACCGTCACTAAAAATCCAAAGCTAAAATACAGACTGATAATAATAATAATATTATTATTTTGGGACATAATTTTAGCTCTTTTGGTTTAACCTTTACGCGCTGGGCTTGCACTGCCTCGTCCTGGGGTCCCACATGGCGGGAAGCAGGTACTTTCTCCCAGCCAATCCCTTCGCGTTGTAGCTGGCCCCCGACGCGGGGTCCACGAGCAGGTTCCCAGGGAAGCCCGGGAACGCGCCACCGCCGAAGATCCCGGTGCAGGCCGTCGCCGCCTCCATCGGCAGCGTGGGGGGACCCTGAAAGTAGCCGTCGCCGTAGGGATTGGTGACCGTGCCCGCCAGCAGCGTAGCCAGGTTGATGACGAGGCCGTCGATGCCGACGTCGCCGTTGGGCGGCACCAGCGGCGGCGTCTGCGGGCCGAAGGTGGGCTGGGCGAAGGGCCACGCACAATTCCCCGGGCACTGCGTCGCCGGGTTGCCCACCCACAGGTACGCGTACCGGACCCTGCCGCGCCGCCCAGCGCGGCCGGCGTCGTGGAAGCCGCACCGGCTCATGCAGAAGCCGTCGACGAGCACGTCCGGGGCGGTGAGCACGGCGGTGATGGCGCCGCGGTGGGGCGGGCGGGATGCCAGGGCGAGGAGGTCGGAGTCGGTGAGGGACTTGCCGAGCGAGCAGTCCTGGTCCAGGAGCACGCGGCCGGGTGACAGCCGGGTGGGGCCACCGGGGCCGTACAGGCCGGTGGTTCCCCACCAGGACTCGACGGAGGTGGCGGGGGCGGAGAGGGAGCGGACGAAGTCGACGACTACGGCGCGCTGTACGGGGGTGAAGCTGCCGTAGAAGAGGAGGTTGACGGTGTAGTTGCCCTTGAGCAGGGCGCCCTTGTGGTAGGTGAGCACGAGGGGCTGCTGCGGCACCAGGAAGAGCATCCGGGGGATGACCGCGGAGGATTGGAGCAGCAGCAGAGAGAGGAGAGAGAAGAGGAGGAGGGAAGGAGGAGAGAGAGCCATGTTGAGGTTGTGCTTGATGGCTTCGTGGGGGAGCAACAGGTGGAAGGGGTTTATTAACACTACAAACCAAAAGGGAGGGGCAGAGAGAGTTTTAGGGTGGGGGAGACAAGCGTCAGTGGTGGGCACGCCTCGGAGAGAGACACACACGGAATTTACTATTGGACGCCACACTTTCATCCTGCATGTTCTTCGGGTAAGGAAAGGAGAAGAAAGAATGCAGGACAGCTTGCGGGCTTCTTGTAATATGATGGTGATGTTGGGCATGTTCTTTGGGTCAGCCAGTTCAAACACACCACTGTGTCTTTTCTTCTGGTGAATGAACACAGAATCTTCATGATATAAATAAATTCTTATGCCATCATTTACAATCTTCTTATATTTATTTAATAATTAGAAATATAAAAGTAAATAGAATTAATCATTTATATCTAAATTAATTATATCTTTATATTTTAGTTGATATTAAGTATCAAAAGTACGGACGAATTATATATTATCTCTTATAATTAGTTACTTTTAGTATTTTGATTTTTATATCTATAAAGTTACATTTAGGTTTGTATGAAAGTAAAATATTTAATCTCGTTTTTTATCACGTTATTGATTTTTTTTATAGAAATATCATATATACTCAGTGATAAACCTTATGATATTTTTATTAGTCGACGATACAAAGATAAATAAAGTTAAATATATTTTTTTTATAAATATAGGGATCATAACGTAACTTTTGAAAGTATAATGATCGAAATACTAAGGATAGTTAATTAAATAATCTAATCTATAATTAGTCAACTTAAAATAATATAATATTCTTATCATTTTCAAAGTTTTATAAAGAGTATTAATGTTAGATATGGTTTAGCCAATAATCAAATTATAATCAACCATCAAATTAATTATTAATAAAAATATAAATTACTCAAAAAAACTCATCTTTTCTTATTTTTATCATAAAACGTTCCCTATTTTTAGTTGATTTTTTTCTTTATATTTTTATATATATATATATATATATATATATATATATATATATATATCCAATTTGATTGACATGACAAAACTAGTGAAGTCGGACTTACATTGTGAAATTATAGTATTGAAATTGAGTTAATAATATTGTGGTACACCTAATTTGATCATCAATTTATGGACATAAATATCTAAAGAATTTTTACAAAATCGATTTGGTTCGAATAAAATAAATCAGAATCAACTATAATCTTTAAAATCAAATTGTTGATAAATCGATTTGAGTTGATTCATTAATTCGGTTCAAGTTTGATTTTGGCTCGGTTCGATACTATAAAAGAAGAATAGAAATTTAATCTCTCTTCTCTATGAAGAGTTAGATATATGCATATATTTTAAATAGTTTTCTAAGACATATGAATGTATTCAGTTGATAAAAGAATTTATATAGTCTTTTAATTATGGAAAAATGGCATCTGACACTTTAGATCCGAAATGTGTTGAGATGTGCTCGATACAATTTAGGTCCCCGTATTGCCATCCGTGCCCACGGTCTTCGACCTTGTGCCTGCAGCAGACGTGTGCTCAATGTGATGAGGCCGTCAGAGCAACAGATCTGTATCCTCGGCCTCGTCAGAGAGAAGTCGTCGAGAGCGTACAGTCTTCCTGACAAAGCTGCTTTACCCCTCCATGAATGACGGCAGCGGCGGTCGATATCTCACAGTCACCAAGAAGAGCACGTACACATGAACATAGGGAAGGAAAGAGCAATGAGCTGGAGGTCGACGACACTGCCTCATGCAAGTCTTTTCTTCCTTCTCGAGGTCGTCTTCTCCCAGCCAATCCACCCTCTCAGCCACCTTTTCAGCCATTCACTATCTACTTACTGCTTGGGTAGATCTGGATCAAACAGCAACAGCTTCTCTCGCTCATTTACTCGGTCAAACTCTACTTCCCAAAACGATAGCGATTGTTGTGTTATCCCTCGATTTCAACTCCGCCGATGACCAACGCTCTCCCTCGTTGCAGACATCTGTCGTCTGCATTGATGTGGAATCATCCCATTTGTCGCTCTCCCATAACTTGCTCTCATTTGCTCTCTCACCCGTATTCATGTTTGCTTGGCCTCCTTCGTAGCAAGTAAAAGCCCTACAGCTCTTTCCCACCCTATATTACTCCTCAGTGGAACCGGCAGAACCATCTATCTCTCTCTCCACAGGCGCACAAACATTGCTAGGGGACATGGTCAGAGAACGATGATGAGCTGGGTGAGATATGAGACCTTCCTCACTGCCAGCTTCCTTGTAATGCTTCTCCATCTTCTTCTCCCGGTGTGCTGCTTCAACGAGTCGCCACTATCCCGTTCTGAGGTATCCATCGTCGTGCTCTTCTTCTCGTAGGTATGAAAGCTTGAACTGATAGCATAGGCATGAAACAGGGGATGCTGGTGGAAGAGAAGGCCCGGCTGGGGTCGGCGCCGCCCAACTGCCACAACCGGTGCAACGAGTGCACCCCATGCACGGCGGTGCCGGATCCGACTGCGCCGAAACGGCCCAGCCGGGTTGAGCCCTTGTTGGATGACTCGTTCGCCGAGGACAAGCACTCCAATTACAAGCCACTGGGGTGGAAATGCCGGTGTGGTGACAACCTATACAACCCTTAGGAGAAGACGTCTCTTCCACGGATGATGAATTCCGTGTGCTATCTCCTCTCTATGGTGAATTGGCGAGAAATCTTCCCATTCTTCTCCATGGAAATTTTAGTGTTGCTAATGATATCCATGAAATCTTTAGTTAGTTTATTAGCTTATTTGGCATTTAAATCTTTCAAATGTTATAGTCACAAATATCTTCAAATTTAATAAAAATTAACAATAATATCATATGAGACAATTATAGCCATCAATTGAGATTATAGGATTATTATTACTTATATAATCAAATTAGTATTTCGCATATCAAGCTTAATTCAAATCTTTAAATATAAATTATACTTTAAAATAGCTTTGATCACTAAATATTTAATCCAAAGGTTTAATTATTTATCATGATCAAACTCAAATAAAAAAAATTAATATTTTCTTTGCCATACCGCTCGATATTAGGTCGGTCTGATATTATTTGACGTTATCTAAATTGATTTTAATGCCTACTAAATGCTTAGACTTAAATTTATATCTTAATATAAAAAATAGATATGACAGTTTAATGTTCATATATCAATCTCCTCTTATAAAGAAAAAACTAAGAAATAATCTTCTAATATACTAATGTTCCTAGGAAACATTTTCAACCAACAACAACAAATACAAAATTTCTTAAATGTTTGGAGAATTTTTTATCTTTTATAGTAAGCGTGCAAATTTTTTTCATTTTCCACAACAAAATAATACAATTCATTACTAATCGAAGACTTATATGAAAGTTTTATAAAGTTGACAAATAGGGTTAAGATGTTGAAATAGTTTACCTAAATTTGTAACCCTAATATGTTGAAAAAATCAGAACAAAGCAGCAGTAAATTGTTTGACCAGCAGTGACATTTCCACACCCATCTTCTTTAATTTAATTTAATTTATATTGGAAAGATTGAGTTAGGGTTAATTACATATTATCTCTTATAATTAGTTATTTTTTATATCTCGATTTTTATATTTTTAAAATTTACATTGAAATTTTTATACTTATGAAAGTGAAATATTTAATCTCATTTATCACAGAAATATCGTAACATTTATCACTGTATACATGTTGATTTTGTTTCATTTCAGTTTATCATCGAATACATACGATATTTTCATCATACATAAGGAGAAATAATATTAAATATTTTACTTTCATAAGTATAAGATTTTAATATAATTTTTAAAAATATAAAGATCAAAATACTAAAAATAATTAATTATAAGAATAATATATAATTAGCCTTATATTAGGCCATATTTTACTCTCTCCCTCATCGGATGTATCCATCAGTGGAGCCAACACCACATCGATTGCAAGCAATGAGTTCCAATCCAATGCCATCTACTACTGTTTATTGAACTCCTTTTAAACTGCATAGCCTACAAGACGGTAATAAGTATCCATCGCCAAGCAACACGACACCAAGCAAAATGGATTCTTGATGCAGATGCTATTGCAGTCACAGAGCTTGACAGATTTGTGAGACCATGTTACAGGAGAACAGCATCTAATCACGGTCATAATGTAGTCCTTTAATGGAGGCAATTGATGCTTTTTCACAAGCTGCATAACAAGCTACATGTGATTAGGTCGATTCCAAACAAGATTTGAGGGATATGGCAGGGAATAAGATCTACTTTTCTAGGGAGAGGCATTGCTTTGTCTACTAGTATGGTATTTTTATTTCAAGAAAAAGAAAGATTATATATTATTTTAGAGACCTAATATAAGCTATGTTTGATGCTCAAGTGTTATATATGGTGTGAGTAATCTCTTGCACATTAAATATCATTTGTTACGGTAAGTAACTTTTTGAGTCGTGACCTTCGGGTCGACGCGGCTGGTTCAGGGCTCCAAATGGCTAGGATCAGACGTGGCTCCCCTTGGAATCTTGAGGTGGCTGATGCAGGGGATCTGGCTGGAAAGTTCTGCGACGCCGAGTGGATTCAGCAGTAGTCGAGTACCTGCACATAGGTCGGGTCGGTGGCTCGGCCCGACCCCTCCGACGATCAAGTCAGTGATGCGGAGAGGAGTTGTTTTTGTGCCAGATCGCCCCCCCTTTTGGCCGTTGGGAGCCAGGGAGTATTTATAAAGGGGGTTTGATGTTACCTGATGTGCCGTCCTACAGGAGCAGGGTCGTACCTCTGATGGCATCTGTCATCGTCGTGGGCGTTGCGTGGAAGGCCGAGCTTCCGCAGGGTATGGGGAGCATTAGTCAACGCCTTCCCCTGCCTCGGCCGGTCGTGAGGGGTCAGCCGAGGAGGTCGTTTGGGTACGGTGGGTGTGGGTGCATGTCGTGTCGGCGTTAATGCTCACTCGGTATGGGCGCGTGTCGTGTCGGTGTTAATGCTCGCTCCCTGGGGTAGTGTGCCGCCCAGGGGTGTCTGACGTGGGGGTGTATTACGTCAAATCTGGGGTGTTATGTCCAATCAGTTTTTACCCCTATCATATGACCCCCCCCAAAAGGAGCTATGCGTCGATTTTGGCTGCAGGGAGTCCGATGCATGGCTTCTCGCTTCAGGCGGGCTGTTTATGCGGGTTTGAGGGGCACGATGCAGACGGACTGGTCGCGTGAACGCATCTCGAGCAGCACAAGGCCGAGGCACGTGATTTAGTCGGGAGGCCAAGTAGGATTGGACTCGGGGGCAACGGAACCGACAAGGGCCGAGGAACACAACGCAGGCGGGGTGACCGCGTAGGTGTGGTTTCGGGAGGCGTAGAGCCGAGGGCCGAGGAGCACAACTCAGGCGGGGTGACCGCGCAGGTGTGGTTTCGGGAGGCGTAGAGCCGAGGGCCGAGGAGCACAACGCAGGCGGGGTGACCGCGCAGGTGTGGTCTCGGGATGGCGTAGAGCCGAGGGCCGAGGAGCACAACGCAGGCGGGGTGACCGCGCAGGTGTGGTCTCGGGAGGCGTAGAGCCGAGGAGCACAACGTAGGCGGGGTGACCGCGCAGGTGTAGTCTCGGGATGGCGTAGAGCCGAGGGCCGAGGAGCACAACGCAGGCGGGGTGACC